TTGGCAGACCTCTGTTTGTGAACCACAGGAGAGACCTCTGGGATTTTGGAGTGAGGCTCTGCCATCATCTGCAGACAACTCTGCTCCCTCCGAGAGACAGCTCTTGGCCTATTTTTGAACCTTAGTGAAAACTGAATGTTTGACAATGGGTGTGGTAGTTTGAGAGGCACTATTAGGAGGTGTGACTTTGTCTGAGTAGGCATGTATGGTCTTGTTGGAAGAAGTCTGTCACTGCGGAGGCATCTCATATATGTGGAGATCTCATATATGCTCAAGGTACCACCCAGTGTTTTACACCATTTTCTGTTACCTGTAAGATGTAGGACTCTTAGCCACTTCTCCAATGCCATGTCTGCCTGCATACCTCCGTGTCCCACCATGATGATAATGGACTGAACCTCTAAACTGTAAGCGAGCCACCCTAATTAAATGTTTTCCTTTATAAGAGCTGTCGTGGTCATGGTGTCTCTTCACAGCAAAAGAAGCCCTAACGAAGTCTGTCATGCAACCTGAGCTGCCTGTCATGTGCTGGGTGTTCTCTGACATACCAAGTCATAAAGTTGGACTGTACAGCCGCACTCCGTTATCAGATGGATTGGCATATGTGTGATCAGGCCCAAGCAGGTTCTGGAGCACAAGCAAGTTGCATGAAGAAGTTGCCCATATGCTTATGGTTTCTAGAGGAGGCGCCCTTGAAGACAGCCTGGACTTAGGAACCCCTCCTATCTTGGAGTCCATCCTTCCTCCCCACCGCCTTGCTTTCCCCACCACTTCCTTTCCAGCTCCAGATACGTTCTGGTTCTGCATTTTGGGACAGTGTCTTTCCCAGAAGACACTGAACACAGAGGCGCAGTCCCCACTGCCAGGAAGTTTAAAGCCACACATTGCACAGTTGCCACAGTTGCGTGACTCCTTGCGGTTGGTTCATTTCTGCCTCTCCTTCCCTTGGGCCCAGCCACTTATTAGCCTCCTTAAAGGCATAGAAGGCATTGAAGGCATGTGCTGCTGCTACTCTTTCTCCTCCTCCTCCTCCTCAAGTTCAATCTCTTGTTGACGGTTTCTGATCTCCACTGCTTTCTTCTTGTGTGCCCTAATCTAGACATTGAATCAAGCCTTCTTGTTTTAACCTTCCTATTCATGTACTGTTGATACACCCCTTGGCAGAAGAGTTTGATAGCTAGCATCAAAGCCATAAAGAAAAAGAACACTTTTCCACATCTCTTAGTAGAACTACCTGAAAAATATGTTTGTGTCTTGACTGTTACCTGGGCCTGGATTCACAGTCTGCTGCCCCTGAACCACATTGTCTTAGGAGTTGTCTGACGCTGCTTCCCTCACTTCTGTTATAATAAAATGAGGGATCACACAGTCTCCGTCTCACAGATTTATTGTCAGAATTAACTGGCAAAATGCTTTCAGTCACAAAGCATTTGGAACTGTGCCTGAACTGTATAAACCTCAATAAATGTCTGTTGTATCATTATTATCTGGCTTGGGTATATTGAATGCAGGCCTGATGCCAGGCTCTGAGCAATTTGCTAGGTTGAAAGACATTGTCTCTGTCCTCCTGGGAATGCACAGTCATGTTGGAGAGTCAGTGTGTAATGTCATGGTGTGTGTCCTGCTGTGGGTGATGCCGTGCTTTCAGGCCATCAGGAAGAAGTCAGGAGCTCCAGTGCATTTGAAATGGATATAGAGGACTTCAAATACTGCCTGCCAAGCTTCCTAGAGGGCTTCAGGTGGTGCTCACATGTCGTGGGGGCAGAGGAAAAGTCTGAGGTGTATGCAGTGCCCTTGCAGGCCCAGGCATAAACAGGGCAGCACAGTCAGGAGGGACCCAGCACGAGAGTGGGGCCAAGGTCAGGTGTAGCCTGTGTTCCCAGTTCAGGAGTTCAGACTCTTGATCCATGGTCACCAGGGAGCTATTGGAGGCTTTGTGCCCGGAATCATGTGGCCATTTACAATGTAGAATGTTTGTCCTGGAAATAATCAGAGGTAATAAGGGCTAAGAAAACCTGTGACCGTGATATGGAGGGGAGCATGGGATTGAGGGCAGTTTTAGGGTTCAGATTTAGATGGAAATAATGCAGCAGAGGAGAGGCAGAGTGAGAACACCGGAAGGTGGTCACTAGGTTTCTAGCCTCCATAACGTGGCATCCAGGATACCACTGAGCAAGATGGTGAAGTGCTACACGTGCCCAGGGCAGGAAGCCTTCAGCAGCTTCTCTATGCTTCCTATGGGCTGAGTCATCCATGTTTTATCTGACTTTGTGATGAGGCTGATGCATATTTTGCAACTGTGGCTTTAAGCATTTATAGCCTACTGTGTACCAAGAGAAAAGTCTCTAATATATGCTTCACAGTGTGGGTAATACTTCTCTTGGGTGACCAAGTGAGGTTTTCCCTTTTCTCTTATCTGTATGTCATTTTTAAAAAAACCATAAGCAGGTATTTATCTCTTTGGAAATGAGAGGAAAACTCAGTGTGTTTGGATAGGCAGGCTGCAGGGATCTGCAGGCTTCAGGATATTCCCATGAAATGGTTAAAGATGAGAGAGGGTGAGTGTCTCAGACAACGAGTTCCCACCCATGCCCTGCACTAACAGGGACTACACTCAACAACAACAAAAAACAGAATTCCTCTCTGTGAGGGAGTAACAGTTTCCAGTTCTGAGACTGAAACCAACAAATGTGGAATGGCCAATTCTGGGGTGACAGGGGTGGGGAGGGGTCCTCACCAGGGGCCAGCAGCTGGTCCTTGGTTGGGACTGGCTCAGGTGGCTGGACAGCTGGAGTCTTGTCCTGAAGGGAACAAGTCTTCTGGGAGGTTTGTGCAATTGAAAGCACACCAGAGAGGCACACTTTCAGGAAGGCTCTAATTACCAGCTGGCTAATAAACAATAATGAGAATATTGCATGAGGCTCCCATTACCCTTGCAAAGTGACTTCCTCTGGTATGGGCTCTCTAGGGTTTATAGCAAATTCTGGGGGCTGGTACCTTCACTAGGTCCTCCCTTGGCCTGCTGCTCTGCCTGTGTGTCTGTACCCTACAGCTCCCTTCAGAGCCTCTCTTCGCAGTACAGACCCATTGCTTACCCAGTGTCTGCAGTCACTGTAGCCCGAGTCTGTCCCCTGTGAAATACCTTCTCGGCAAAAGCAAACGACGGTTGCATGCATCTTGGCATCTAAGTGATTTTTCCCTTCCTGACATTCTGTTCTCTCATAGGACAGATCCTGATAATCAGTTCTTGTCCCTTCTGCCCCACTGACCAGTTGAAGTTTGTCACCCGTGGGGTGGGGGGGGTGCTGTGCGAAGCCCCCTCCTCCACCTTTTTGGGCCCTGTTGGAGTTGTTGTGTGGCACAGATGTCCAGGCTTTGGTCCTTGCTGTCTTTGCACAGCTTAGAGTCTGGGCGTAGAGTCTGGGCATACCGTCGAGCTCCACAGCTTTGGTGCAGTCCTGGACTCCAGATGTGAGCGGTCAGCTGTGGAAAGTGCACACAAGGGCCTCCCGTAAGCTTCCTGTGTGCTGCAGCCCTTATCATCATTCCAGGCATTGGATAAGTGGATCCTGGCTCCCTACTAGGAAGCAAAGGCACAGTGGTGGCACCTGTTGTTGCCACACCACTGTCAAGTGTGGCACTTGGGCCTGGGTAGCCTCTCTGGCACCGCATGGTTTCCAAGTTTACCAGCAGCTGAGAGTTCATTCATTTGTGCTTCTCTCCTCTCCTCCTGTGATCGCCAACCACTGTTGAAGCTCGTTCTACTCTGTGTGTGCTTTGTCATGTCCAGTATGAGTTTCCCGTCCACTTGGTGGTGCCCTTAGTGAACCATCCATAGTCACTCTGTCCGTCCATTTCCTTATCTGACTCACAGAGCCCAGGGGCCTAAGCTGCCTGTGGCCTGGCATGGGCTCACGGTTCCCCCTTTCCCATGGCTCCACCTGGAGCATGCCCTTCCATTTCTAGCAACCATAGACATTAGCATCTTAAAGTGTCTATGCTCTGGTCATGAGTTATTGGCTGCTGCTTCCTCTGATATCTCTCTCTCTCTCTCTCTCTCTCTCTCCCTCTCTCTCTCTCTCTCTCTCTCTCTCTCTCTCTCTCTCTCTCTCGGTTTTTCGAGACAGGGTTTCTCTGGGTAGCCCTGGCTGTCCTGGAACTCACTCTGTAGACCAGGTTGGTCTTGAACTCAAGAGATCCATCTCCTTCTGCTTCCCGAGTGCTGGGTTCAAAGGTGTGCACCACCACTGCCCAGCTTCCTCTGATCTCTTAACACAGTAACTTCTACAGCACATAAACCCTTGCACCTGTTGGGGAGGTAAGCAGGAGGGGGACACATGGGAGGAGAACAATGTGAGGAGTTCATAGTGATGAGTGTTGAGCCCAGGGTTTAGCTCCAGGTAGGTGCTTGGTGCTTGGTGGCACTGGCTATTGAGATCCTGTTCAAGTTGGTATTCTGTCTGTCCTTCTGTCCAGATTGGTGCAGAGTCCAACAGACTCTAGAACCAGAGTACCAAGTATTTGTGTATTACCAGCATGGAGTAACATGTCAGATACCCAAGGGCCATGGCTTCTATTACTGAGTACAGAGTGCTCATCCTTCAGAGTAGTCACACAGGTAAAAAATAATTAATTAATTAATTAAAATAAAATAAAGCAAAACAGAACCCAGTGAATGTCAGGCAGCACATTTTGGCACGAGAGAGGTGAGCTGTGGGGTAGGGCACTCACCAGTGGACTCTCCCAAGGTAAGAGCTCTTCCCAGAAGTCAGAATGGTCAGTGAGCCAAAGTACTACCGTGATATTCCCAGGGGGGAAAATAGATCGATAAAAAACGGTGTTGGCTAATGAAAGTAAGAATTTAATCTTGGGGTCAGTGTGACCTAGGTGCAGTTTCTTGGGAAAATTCTGTGTATTGAGGTGATTTGGAACACAGAGCCCATGTGTATGCCTCCAGTACAGAGTGACAGCTGACCCTGATCCCTTCCCTCTTCTCTTAGGGGGCAGTGCCCAAAGGAAATGCCACTAAAGAGTTCATCGAGAGCCTTCAGCTGAAGCCTGGGCAGGTGGTGTACAAGTGCCCCAAGTGCTGCAGCATCAAACCCGACCGGGCCCACCACTGCAGGTACCGTGGCCTCTCCTCAGCACCAGGCCGGCACCGGGACTGCTGAGTGTCCCACCCAGGCAAGGAGTGACCGCTAGGGTGGAAAAGGCATTTGACAGAGCAAGGAACGCCTGATGTAGCCTCTGTTTTCGTGTCTGTAAGGCTGAGGTACTCCTGATTTCCTGGTAACCTCACAGCTTTGGCAAACCTGTGAGGTGCAGTGCTCAAGACAGAGACATCTCTCAGACTTTCCTTAAAGCAACACTTGCAGAGCTTGTGACAGGAGCAGCTTCTAGACAGAAGTCTCTTTTCCCTCTGAGCTGTTACAGGCATTCCCTTTGTATCATCAAGATTCTTTGAGTCTTCTTGGTGAGAAGACATCTTGCTCAAAATTGCGTTTTCTCATTACAAGGGATCTATAAGCGGCCAATTACAGAGCCCTGCAATGTCATCTGGCCCCTTTACAACATGCTGTACGTTTGGAGTGAGGAGGGCATGGAGGAATGAGCTTTGCTAGCTAAGACACTGTGGGGAGAGAGATTGTGCCTGAGCAACAGATCACGGAGTGGCTTTCCTGTGCTGCCTTGTGAAGCCATCTGTTTGTCACCCAGATCGGTCAACTCCCCAGCCCCTGCTGTGTTCCAGGAACCTCCATCTCTCCTATTACTCCTATTTCCGCCTTCATGGCCACCCCTGGAGATCAGGTACTGTTGCACAGGCGATGCCCAGATGGGGACGCTAGCCTCGTGCTGACTGACTGCTTTAAGGTCACAGAGCAAGCGGATACTTGAGACAGGTGTGGATCCAGCCCATTCTGGTTCTTGGGCCTTGTGGGGCTCTAGCTTAAGTGATTCACACAATGGCAGCAGTGTGAGTGTTTGGCTGAGAAGCTTTGCTTTTCCGGAGGACTTCTGTCTTGGATTACCTCTGAGGTCTGTTAAGGTTTGCTTCTTGTACGTGAGATGGCATTTATTACCCTTTTGCTACCCTGGAGGCCTGACTCTGAAGCTGGAGAGGTTGTGTTTTAAGCCAGTGCAAAGTCTGTCTCTCTCTGGGGCACACTTTTCCCTCTGTAAACGGGGGTGACTGGTTCCTTCCTCATTTTAAGGATTTAATGTAAATAGCTGTGAGTGGCCAGCAGTAAGTGAAAGCTCCCCGTGAATGGAACCACGCGTGGGGGTTAGAGATATGCAGTTTCTAAAGGCTGGGCAAGAAACCAAAGGATTAACCTTGTTAGGAAACAGCTTTCCTGCCACACAGTGGTTCTTTTCTCTTTCCTCCCTACAGCCCAGCATCTGGTGGTTTTTTTCTTCAATTGCAGCTATCACACCTCTTCACCTCCTCCCCAAAGTGACCCAAAGTGGGCTCCCAAGTGCTAGTAAACAGCTGGAGCAAAGCAAGAGCTCCTGAGCTGGTTTAGGGTAACCCAGTAGGGGTGCTGAATTGCCTGTGTCTGCCTCAGAAAATGTGCGCTGCTGTTTCATGGTGGTGCGTGGAGGCCCAGGCTCTCCCAGAACCCTGGTTAGGGTAAGCAGGGTCCTGAAACATGAGCTAGATTGGGGTTTTTTGATGGTCTGTTAGCCCAGAGGCTGCTGCCTGGTCACAGTTAGAGAGCTGTGTTTGTCTTGTCCTTGGGAAGAGGGCCACACATACACCTATTTCTGCATTCTGCTCCTGGTGGAGTCTGTAGAGGTTGATATTATAGCCTCTATTCCCAGAGCTCTGGTGGGGATTGTAGCTACACACAAACTTTCCACCTAGAGCAATGGTTCTCATCCTTCCAAATGCTACAGCCCTCATGTTGTGGTGACACCCAACCATAAAATTATTTTCACTGCTATTTTATAACTGTAATTTTTCTCGTAATGAATCTTAACGTAAGTCTCTGATGTGCAGCCCCTGTGAAAGGGTCCTTCAACACTCCTTCCAAGGGATGACACCTGCTCCAAGGGATAGCTACCCACAGGCTGAAAACTACTGATTATAGTCTGCCTCCTAGCCCTGCTTCTGTAGGTGGGCCTTTGTCCCGCGCTACCGTCTCGCCTGCAAGAACCACGCGGGACACAGGATCCTACTGCAGAAATAGCTTTAATGCCCCTTGGGAGAGCGAGCATCAGCCAACATGGCGGAGACCCAGATAAGATGGAACCCATCCCTTATATAGGAAACAGACCCTGCTTCGGACGTGTCACTCTTGGATTGGTCAATTGTCCATAATCCCAGGTGATGCCTCGGGAGTAGGCGGGGACTCAGTG